ATAATATTTTAAATATTAATATATAATTATATGTGGTTTTTTTGTTAAGTTTTTTCTTCAAACTTGCGTTATGATTTTTTTTTAATGATTCAATGTTTTTTAATGGATTTAAAAAATATTTCTTTTGTTCGTTTTAGTTAAAAAAATTAAATTCATTGAAATACGATCAAGAATTAGACACCCATCATTAGTGTTTAAATGATTTCCTCCCGGAAACATATCTATTCGAAGATGAAAAAAATTATAAGAAATAGATAAAAGTGGAGCAACACCTCGGACATATATAGAAGAAATGTGAGGCAAGTTGTCTTGGGGAGGAAAAGAAAAAAAAAGCAAAAGATTGAAGTTTGCGTCGATCGACTTTCACGGTCGCGCGTATCTTTGCTCCATAACGCGTTGCAAATCGCGACAAATGGAACGGAGAGAAACGTCCTAAGAAATAGAAACGAAAATAAAGAAATAAAGAAATAGATAGATAGATAGATATATAGATAGATAAATAGATAGAAGTCTTTCCTAATTTTCTCAAACGAGATAAGTATGCGCTGATTTTTTTCTTATTTTATTTGATTTTTATTTTTATTTACATTTGATTTGATATTTGATTTAATTTAATTTTTATTTTATTTGTATTTTTTTGTTCTCGATCATTCTTTCATCTAATTCTTTCTCAAACACCGTTAATACCACGAAAGTATAATACATCGTCTATAACCGATAAGTGCTTAACAATTGTATCTTTTTTATCTTGTCTTTTCTTTAAATCAATCTTCCACCTTTCTGCGATACCGCTAATACCACGAAACATCTTTTATCACCAACCGATACATTGGTATTTATATTTCTTTCCTTTTTTTCTATTTTTTCAAACATTTTTTTTTGTCTTCCTAGCTATCGATCTATCATTCTTTTCTTTCCTCACCTCTCCCCCCTGCCCCGTATTTCTACCGTTATACCGCTAATACCGCGAAAATACTTCGTTACCAGCCTATAGGTGTCTAACATTTTTCTTTTATTTTCTTTTTTTTTTCTTTATATTTTTCTTTCTTTTTCTTTCTCTTTTTCTTTGCCTCGATCCTTCCGATATCTTCTTTTTACGTTGTTACTGTCTTCTTCTTCAAACGGAAAGATCTGACTGAGCAAGATCGCGTCGTACCACCTACCGGTTGTGTTGGCTTGATCCTCGGCAAAACACGCGAACATTTCAGCATATATCTATCTGTCCCTACGTTAGTTTCTCTAATCCTTAAACACGCTTGTGGTTCAGGCTCGGCTCACCATCTCACTTCGATCTCACATAAGCCCGTTATTTCCTTTTGCCGATCTACGTTCTTCCCTTCTCTTCTCTTCTTTTCTTTTCTTTTCTTTTCTTAAGCGAACGGTGTGATCTTATCCGACACGTTTGATCAAAGTATATTGAACTAGTATATAAAACGTTATATACTAAATTATATTTAAATTACTCGTGTATTTATATTATTGGTTAAAAGTTTGAAATTGTTCGTCGATATATTTTTAAATTGTTAATATTAATGTGTTTATAAATTAAATGCAAAAGGTTGAGAAAAATGGATAATTAGTCTCAATGTTTTGTTGACAGCTTATTTTTCTTTGTTTTTAAAATTTAACGAACAATCAAACTCGTAGGAGAGATCATCTTTATTTATAATTCAATAAATTGGCACATGCAATATTATTTGTTTAATATTCAGTTCCATCGAATTTGAACTTTTGATCTCGATAGTGTATATGGTAAATATTATATTTATTTTTAAATTGTAAACATTTTAATCTATCGAAAAATAATTTCTCTAATTAAAATTTAACGAACAATTCTTTTTTCTACACGTTGCTTGCATCCGAAATCAAACTAGTATATGAGATCTTATTTATTTATAATTATTTGTACATGCAATATCATTTGTTTAATATTCAGTTCCATCGAGTTTCAACTTTTGGTCGTTAGTGTATTATGGTAAGTATTATATTTACTCTTACTCACTTATGTGTAATTGTGTACACGTAGTATAGAAAATTGTAATCCTCTATCTAACTCGGGTACCGTTTCAACCGACACCTTATACAACCTAACAACCACAAACAATTTTCTCTAAAGATAAACATTCGGTTACATCGAAAGCTACTCGCGATAGCATGTCGTAAAAAGGATTTTTTCTTTTTCCGAAGAAAAATTAAATTAATTTACAAATAACCATAACGTAACTTAACCGATTTTATTAGATACATCCTATCTGTATACTTTATTAGGAGAAAGTATCATTTTCTCACGGAACGTTCAATAAAAATTGCAATTCGGTGTATTCCCTGTTATTGGTTATTCGATCATACTACTATAATAATCAATCGAATTGTTTTTTTTTTCGATGGTTGGATAAAACCTTAAACGTCAATTCTAAATTTATTCTAATTGTAAGAAAATTTTTAGAATAAGGAAGGGTTCACTGGCATTCATTTCAAGATTGAATCATAATTTAAGAATTTCAATAATTTAATAATTATAATAATTTAAAAATTCGAACAAAATTTTCTTTTGAAGCGAAATTTCAACAATTTGTATTTTTATTCGAGAAAAATTCTTTCCATTCTTTTAATTTTCGATGATTAAAACACGAGAGAAAAAACACATGCGTAAATTATTCTGATAAAAAAAGGAAAATAATTAAAATTATCTTTAATTCGTAGGTTTTCGAATAGTTCAAAGAGTATTACGTGTATAACCCGATCGTAAAATGACTAAGAATTCATAATGAACCTTCTTTTACTCGTACTTCCGCATTTAACCAAGATGGCTGACCAACGATTTTACTTATAGAAATCTTAGAATACGATTTGCTCACGCTATCTCAGCAAAATCCAAGAGTCGTTTCGACTATTTCTTAACATATTACACACACACTTCTTGAGGACTTTAATGTTTTTAGAAATTTAATTTTGTATTTGCAACGTATGATAAAATATACAAGCTGTATCAAAAGTCACGGGACCCAAAGATCAAAAAATTTCCTTATTCCTCTAACAATAAGTCAAACGTTTTAATACGAAATCATTAAAATGAAACGGTGCAGATAATAATGCATTTGAGTAAGAAGAAAACATTTTTCTTATATCATTAAATAAAGAAATATTATTTATTCAATGATTCCAAGTGTAAATGAATTAATCATATTATATTGTTCTCATAAAAATTTTGAGGTTAATTTGGAAAAAATATATTTTTAAAAAAGATTACAATAAATATCGATCAAATTATTTAACAAAGCGAACGATACACGAAAATATTTCGTAATCGTTGAAAAAATAATTTATCCTATAGTGTAAATTTATGTAATTTAGATTCGCGAATATTTGATACGTCCGATATCGAAAGAAAATAGAAACAAAAATAACCAATAAAAAAAATGAATGATAAAAGAAAATAAAAAAAAAGAATAAATTTGTCATAAAAGGGGGGAGGGGGAGGGGGAGGGGGGATTATGACGATGATGATACGTTCCAGGATAAACGATTTTTCATAGAAATATTATAGTAAGAGAGAAGTCACAAATGGACCCGCTGCTGTGCAGAAAATAACCAACCAACCAACAACTGCATGATCCTTTATTACAAACGATGCGCCTATCAGTATAAATACATTCTCGCGTTCCTACGATCGCTTAAAACGATCGTAAAACGGCCGGAAGAAAAGTTCGTTTATGGTCTCATGTAGCGTGCAACACCACCACCACACAACTACGCGTACTATAGTTTCTTAAGCTTTTCCAAGTGAGAGAGAGAGAGAGAAAGAGATAGGGATAAAAATAAAAAGAAATTCTGCTGCTTATCCTATTTAGTTTATGTTGTCGTTCTCGCCATACTACTGCAAGAGGGGGGGGGGGAGTTCGACTTGACAGCAATGCCAAATGAACGTAACACACATTTTGCTATACACACTAATGTGCATAGTTGTGCACATACAATGTGTACCGAGTAACGAACACGTTTCTTGTAGAAAATAATCAAAGAAACGAAGAGAGAGTGAGAGAGTAAGAAGAGGGGATATTTGTCTCTCTTTCTGAAACGTTTCTATAAATAAAGTAGGCTAATAATAGGTTTAATACCTATTGATATATATATATATATATATCTCTATGTAATACTTAATTTTATCTTCTTTCAGTATATTATCGAGTAACAAGATTAGACGCTAATTACTTCGACCACTTTACAATATTCTTTTTATTTTATCGTTTAAACGTTTGGTCAATAAAAGGAAAGACAAAAAAAATTATAACAAAAGGTGTATACTTGATAATGATTATTATTGTCTCGTTACTTTGCAATCTTGTTGGGTTATTTTGATAGATACTTAATAAAGAAAATAAAAAATAAAAAAAACACACACATGGGAATATTATATTATATATTAATTATTATATTATATATATTAATATATATGGGGACCCTTTATTTGGAAAGTAGCGTAAATCCATTTCAAAAAAAAAATTAGATATCACGTAATTTATACTTAATTATGACAACGAATTTAATATCATAATAATAATATCAATTTTGTCTTTATTTGTGAACTATGATTTTGTTGCCATAATTAAAGACACTAATATATATATTTGAGAAATTTTCTATCGAATATTATCGACGCATGAATAATATCTCAAAGTTACATTTCTTAAAACAAACTTAATTTAATTATCATATAAATATATGTTTCTGTTTCCCTCTTTCCCTTCCCTCCAATAATTATAAATTATTTTAACATTCCTTTCTCTCAAAAGTCAAGATATTCATCGGGTCTCAACGTTTACAACATGTTTTATTTTATATTGAAACACAATCTTTTTATTTTTTTTTACAATTCGCTTCGTTTTACGCGTGAAATTTTTTGGTTAAAAGATAAAGAATAAGAAAAAGAATAATAAAAAGAAGAAGAAGAAGAAGAAGAAGAAGAAGAAGAGCTTATAAAATGTTGAAGATTTACTCACAAGCGTATCTTGCCGTGCGACGTCTGCCCCATGCTTGAGGAGTAGCTCAACCACCTCCAAGTGGCCTTCGGCAGCTGCCCTTTGTAGAGGAGTCACGCCGCCCTGGAACAAAACCGAAAGAAGATGAAAAAAAGAAAAAAAAAATGATTAACGGCTGGTGGTTCCACGCTATTCTTATATTCTTATTCTCGGTATTTTTTTCTCTTCAAAACTTTGTTCTTCCTTCTTCTACGTTTTACGCGTCAATTTGCGCGTAACAATAACAACGGCTTTATCACTGTATCTCTATCTTTTTTTTTTTTTTTTTATTTATTCTCTATTTTTTTTCTCTTTTAAATAAGCGAGTCATAAAAAAAGAAAACCCCGCCCAACGCGTATCGTTATGCCCTTCTCTTCTTTCTATTTTCGATAATAATTTACGACGCGCGCCATTGAGAAATCTTTTCTTTTTTTTGTTTCAAATTTCGCGCCATTTTTATTTTTTATAGGTTAAGAAGACATTAACACGCTCTATATCTTGTTTTTAAATGGTATTTCTTTTTTTTTCGATCAATGTCCATACTTCATCTTTTATTACCATTATTATTATCTCAACACGAGATCATTATTATATATCTATTATTATTATTATTATAAATATTTTTTATATGATGATTGAAATATTATTATTATTATTATTACTATAATTACTTCGCAAACTATTTTCAACAAAAATTGACATACTTAAAACCTAAACACCCTTCCCTATTTCTCACTAACCCTTCCCCCCCCATGTTCTCACCCATTTTACTTTTGCTTATATTTACTCACTTCTTAGAAGATTCTTTTCTTTTCGAACTCTCACCAACTCTCTACATTCTTTTCAATATTCTTTTCTCAAGATATTTCATGAGAAACACATTTGAACAACACCTTCCAACCATAATTTCGTGCTCAAATATTTTACCATCAACCAACTTAACAAATATTTTCAATGGTATACCATAAGAATGACAAACGAAATAATGCATATACATTTGAGAGAACGTATATATATATATCAATTCTTTAAATATTTATTATATTTATAAGACAAATTTATATCGTGTCATGAGTAATCCTGAACTTAGCACGTAAGAGTGTTAATGATTCTCACACGCCTATATGAAACGTAAAAGAAAAAAAAAAGAGAAAGAAAAAGAGAAAGAGTGCGAGAAAGAAAGAAAGAAAAATATAGAAAGAGAAAGAAAGAGAGAGAGAGAGAGAGAGAGAGAGAGAGAGAGAGAGAGATAGAGGAATACCATCGCGTGTTGAAACGCAGATTTTTATCATTCGTTAAAGGTTCTAAACGTTTCCTCGGTTTATCGGCCGATCAAATCACTTGATTAAGTTATCTTTCTCTCTCTCTTTCTCTCTCTCTCTCTCTCTCTCTCTCTCTCTTTCTTTTTCTTTCTATCTCTCATAAGTGATGTGTAAGTACGTAGTCGGTTGGTTTCTTCAAGTACAAGCCAGAGAGATGATTAAAGCACGATGGGCACATAAATTAAACTTTTATCTGATAGTAAGACACGACAGCATCCTTAACAGATACATAGCGTAATTTACGTTTTACGATAGAATAATAAACGTCCTGTGTCAAATGGTGAAATGTTTCCTCCATTCGATTGTTACAAAAAAAATAAAAAAATAAAAAAAAAAAAAAGCACGCGTAAGATCTTATTCATTATTATCCTCCTACGAATTTATATTACTATTCGTGTTTGTTAACCAACCACGAAAGCAGTAACAGTGGGTGGGGGAAAAAAATGTGGAATAATAATAAGAGAGTAGAGAGAGGGGAGGGGGGAGATTGGAAAGAACCAGTTACGGTTAGACAAGTTTCAAACGCGATTTTCTTGTTTTTTTTTTTTTTTTAAATAGCTTACTTATTTTTCACGGTCAATAGAAGATCCATTGGTAGAATGAAAAAGGAAGTGGGCGTTGCCGGTTTGAATCGAATCGTGAATGGAAGAACGTTCGTCGTTCGAGTTATTGGAATTCCGTACGTGAAATCGCACGCGCGTATGTCAAAGCTTATCCTTCTTGGATGCGTATGTGTATATGTATGTATGTGTAATGTGTGCGTGTATCGCTTGAGAAGAAGAACCCTTTGCAAACCGACAAATGATCCTAGCTCGAGAATATCGCCTAGGTGGTGCATTTATACTTGCAAACGTACACACACGTACACCCACACGCGAATACTCTGTTTTTCTCTCTTTCTTTCTCTCTCTCTCTCTCTCTCTCTCTTTCTCTGTTTTACTTACTTACTCACTCACTCACTCACATCAGTCAGATGTTTTGTACTATTTCTCTTTTGCAGTCATAACTACGTGTTATAGGAACGAACGAGAGAAGACATGTCTGGATCCTGGCAATAATTCCAGAGTGGCGAACACTCGACGCATCTTCCATAAATCATGAAGCCACTCGTCCGGCAAGATGAGCGAGCACCAACCAACCAACCAACCAACTAACCCAACCAATCCAACCAACTCAGCGAACATTCGCGATATGTACGACGACTTCAGTTCAGTTCTCGGGTGGTTCGAATCGTTCAAACGAATTTTACTTAAGGACAAGACGACGATGATGATGATGATGATGATGATAATGATGATACCAGTTCACGTACGCTTTCAGAATCCAAATTTTATCTAATCATCGGGTATCATTTTTATATGAGTCCCATGAACGAATGTTGATGTCCTCCTGTTTGTCATGTAATTGATTTCTAATCCTTTCGATCAGATTTGGGTGTGTCTTACAATTTTTTTGTTCTGTTTCGCTTACATTTATTTATTCGATTTATTTTTGTTTTAGATCAGATTTACATCTTTGAGAACAATAGACAAAATTTGTATGGTACATTTGGGGAACAATATTTCTTCTTTTTTTTCTTTCCCCCATTACAATTCAATTGGATTTATTCAAATTTACATTTTCAATTTGTTATTTATCATGAAAAAACAAGTTCTTTTTATGATTTTTTATTATAACTCGTGATTGGTATTAAAAAATTGATAAATTATCGCGATAATCAATGTGAGTTAACTGTGAAAATAAAAGAAATAATAAAAATCACAATGGTACGTGCGTTACAGGTTGCGCGTGCTTCGTAGAAATATGTTGTAATTATGACGCAAAGGGTTAACGTTACCTCACGTAATTGCGTTTTCACAATGTTGCGTAACATCGTCACCCACAAGTTTTTTTTTATTAGCGTGAAAAAGAAAAGGTATGAAAATGACTGGGAAGAGACAGGTAGGCAAGTAAAGAGGAGGCGGGTAAAAAAAAAAAAAGAAAGAGAGAGAGAGAGAGAGAGAAAGACGACACGGTGGTCAAATGAACGTCTCTAGTGCTAATAAAGAGGAAACCCCCGCGTTTATGAGCCCTTTTGTTCCTTTATCTTCCTCCCTCTCTTCCATATTCTCTCTATAATTACGCAAACGAATGTTTTACGGTAGAATAAGTATTAATTAACTCGGTGGGTTGGGTTGCGGTCTACCACAGACACAGCAACCGGGCGACCAGAAAAGGAACGCTGCTTTCTACGTAAAATATCAAACCTCTATCGCAACTTTATCGCGATTTACTAACGCTTCCGGTTTCAAGATACGTATGATCATATTATTAAAAATATAAGATTATATGTTTAATCATATATTCAATATGGCAACTTGAATTCACTCACGCCATCTGTCCGCGCATTAGTTAAATGTTACTGTATGTAATAACTAGAAGGTAGTTTTGGTTTATAGGTTAGGATTTTCTATGTTGAAGAGAAATAAAGATTATACAGTTCAAAAAAGTATAATAGTTTTTTTTTATCAACTAAAATAAAGTAATCCTACTTATTGTAATCTTCTCCCTACAAAGGAATATATAAAATTCAATATTATTATAAACTTTTTATTATTAAAATACTTTTTAAGGTTAGATTTAAAATACTTTTACATATTTTTAGATATTTTAATACTTTTGAATATTAAAAATACTTTTACATATTTAAAAATATCTATCTTCACGTAAAAATATATAATGTAAATTGTCGACTTTCTTTCTTTTTTTCTTTAAGAGGCCCAAAATAATATTTTGCTTACGTAGTTCCGCCATTGGAGTTAACAGATTGTAAAACGTTTCTAAATCCGCTGTTGTACATTTAGAAGCGTTTGTTAAGCGTTTGTAAGAGGATTATACACGCTCTAATTGCACTAAAGTGAAAAGATCGAAGTGTTTATTAACGGAAGAATGATCAACAATAGGAGAGGAAAGTAAAACGAAAGGCGTTTACTAACAACAATCAACCGACGTTAGAAATTCCTTTCTTCATCTTCATCATCGTCTTCCTTATTTCGAATAGACAAAGAAGCACGTATTTAAGACTACCGGAAAAAAAGATTTCACGCGACTACGAAGCAAAAAAACGAAAAAATTACGAACTGGATCGTTAATGTTTCTCCATTGGAAGAGAAACTTTTACGTTTCGCGAATGAGATTGCGATGTTCGATGCGTATCTTGTATTCCTTCGTGTTTCGTTCGACGAATTGGATTCTTTTTAGCCGAAGGGAAGGGGTAGGGGGGATGGTGGAGGGGAAAGTGGTCGTCAATTAACACCATTTTTCGTTATAAGAAAAAGAAAGATAAAGAAACGAGATTCGAAGGAGAGCAATTACTCGATCGTAAACTCGTATGAAAAAGTTTTATCGATTAATTCGTATTTTTTTTTCTTTTTTTATATCTTTATTTATATTTTCTAAATGAGACACATTTTTCTTGTTTCTATATTAATATTATATATTATATTATAGTTTATATTAAAATACATTTGGTTTTATTTAATTAATATATGTTAGAATTACACACGAAATTTATAAAATAATAATTGTTTTATTCTTATTCGTTTATATACGATATTTTCAGATATAAATATTTGGAATTTTTGTTTTCTTTAAATATACATTGGTATCATAATTGTTCGATTATTTATCGTAAGACAATAATAATAATAATTTTTATTACAGATATAATAAAATAATAAAAATAAAAGAAAAAAGAAAATAAATAAATAAAATATAATAAA